GGACGCAGGATGGCAGGGGAGGTCTCACCAGAGCAGAGAGGCAGAATCGCCTCCATTGACCTGCTGGCCATGCTCCTTTGCATGCAGCCCAAGGCAGGATTAGCCTTGTGGGCTGCAAGCACACATAGTCAAAGAGGGAAGTTTGAGATGGTGATGGAGGGCTGTGGAGGAGACAGAAAGAGAAGCCCAGCAGAGCCAGGGGAAGGTGGGGCTGGGTGGGATGAAGGGTGCTTAATTTTCTGGTCTGCAGTGAATACAGAAAGAAGCTGGGCTTGTTTGTAGAAGACAACAGAAGAAGGTGAATGGAAGTGGAAAACCATCTTGAGCTGGGGCAGCAGAGAGCTGCCCCAGGAGACAGCCATGCACTTTCAGCATGCTGAGTTTTTGTGTGTAATTTCAAGCCCTTTGTACATCACAGTTTGGAAAAGTTTGGCACTTGTTTCATTGCAGCTACTGCTTCAGTGTGTAAAAAAAACAAACAAACCACCACCCCACCCCCCACCCCCCCCCCAAAAAAAAAGCATCAACCACAAGCCCCCAAACTAAAACCAACAAAAAATCACCACTTGCTTCAACCATCTGCTTGTATAAGTGACTGCTGCTCTTTTCATTGATCTGAATGCGTTAAATTACATATGAAAATGGTTTAGCAGTGAGCTTTAATCAGTCTATTAGATCAGAAATTCTCCTTGGGTCTATAAAGAAGTTTCTTTGATTGGAGTTTCATTAGTTGCTTTTTGTCTGACTTGTTCGGTGTCTAAATTAATGTATTAAATATACTTTGCCTGCTAAAGAGAAATTTTAATTTACAAACATTGCCAAGCACAGCTCACCACTTGTCTGCGTCATGGTTTCAATGGCATGGCTTTTGAGAAGTGGTTGTGAGAACTGCCACTTGCAGAGATTTGGTGACTGTCTGAATTAGGGACTCTGACAACTGCAGTGCTTCGAGATACCCCAACCTCAGGAGAGGCCACTTCAGCAGCTGTAATTAGGATTTTGACTGAACTGTAAATATTGCCTCGGTGGCAGTTTTGGGTGGGTTTTTTTTTTTTTCCCTCATTTGGCCATAAATAAATCTGTGGGCAGGGGTTTAATGCAGCTTTTCACTCCAGTGCAACGCATAACTACTCAAGAATGAAACAAGGCGATTATAAAGGGTTATTTGTAACAGCCTGTTGGTGATCTGACTTGCTTGTGTTGAATTCCCCGTGCTTGAGCTCCAAATGCTGGCTGTGCCATGGACCAGGGTGTGTTTCCTTCTTTATACCCTCTTCCACTTGCCCACTATGGTTTTAACCAGGTACTGTTCTGCTTGGGAACATTGTCTCATTAGCTCAGTTATCGTACTTGAATCCTCTGAACTAACATAGTAGATGTGAATGAAACACACTTGCATACCCAAGACCTGCAGTTCGCTCACAAAGGTATCCAATCCTGTGGGTGATGTCTGTGCTGATGCAAAGCCTCCAGGAGACCAAGACCTGCCTGGGCACAACTGGAGCAGAAACCAGATGTGGCAGTTTGGGGAATTCCACAGCCTTTTCTGCAGGGTCCATCCTGAGCAGACCATGCTGTGCTGCTTTGTTATAAACCACACAGGAGTTCCTCAGTTTTGCTCCGAGGTTACTCCTCAGTACTTGTGCTCTAGAAGTTTGATGTTAAGCATGTAGAAGAAAGTAGGCAAAACAAAGCATAGTAAAGGAAGCAACCTCATCAAGTATTTGGCCTAGGAACAGACAGATCACTATGTCTGGTTCTCCTTTTGAAGTACATTCTCTCATTGAAGTGGAGCAGCATAAAGGTGTGTATCAGTAACATTTGAAGGCAACATATGCCCTGCTCCTGTGTGTGCAGATAACCTTTAAACTTCTACTTAGGGTTAACTTCCTGTTTTCAGAGTGTTTAAGCCAGAAGTTCAGTAAATGTTGCTAAGGATGATGCTTTATTCCATTAAAAGAACACAGAAGTTTTTGAACTGTTATATCTAACAAGGGTCTTTGGTGGCCTGCAAATCCTTTTAGTTTGCCAAGGAAATGCAAAGCAGGCATTGACACAGGGCTTATCTGCATACAGCAAGCAGCTCTGCTGAAGTCAGTAACTCAAAGTGATTGTTTTTGCAATGCACCGGTGTCAAGTTTTTCAGATATGAAATACTTGCTTCACTCTTGTTCATCTGTTCCATCCCACTTCCCTTTCTTAATATCCTAGATTTAAGTCCAGGCTAGCCTCAAACTCATTGCAAAAAGTATTGCCCTCTGGTAGTAATTTAGCATAATTTTTTATAGAGCCATGCAAGAGTATAAAATGAATCCAACAAATCATAAAACCTGAATAGGTGGAAACATCAGAAACAGTATTAAGAATCTCACACATATGTTATTGAATAATGATAGTTCTTTTATGCTTTTTAGTGTCTCGAATGACTGGAAATGTACAGCACTGAAAACTCACAGCTTTACAGAGGTTTCCGTTGGAGTTTTTTTGTGGTGTTGGTTTTGGGTGGTTTTTGGGGAGGTCGTGATGCACCCAAAGCCAGCCTCAGTGAATCAGGTGTCCCAAAGTTGTAAAACCAGGGTTCAGCAAATACCAGTTTTGAAAGGATTTAGGTAAACTTCAAAAGCGGGTATTTAAGGAATGGGAAAATAACCTACATTTTTAGTTTGTGTTGTAATACTTGTGTATGGCTCAGCACTGCCTGTATTGGAGCAGAAGCTGTTTTGTCTGGATTGACAATCCCCAACTATTGTGACTCTGGGAGACTGGAGCTTCAGGACTGTTCAGTGTAAAGAAAAGCTGAGCTCTTCAGGGCTTCAGAATCAGTGTGGCTGGGTTGCTCTTCTGTTTGTTTCTTTTTAGCTCTGCTGATAAGTGGTTGAAGAGTTGTGAACAGTTTGCAGCCCTGTTTTGGTATTCAGGCAGGACTTACAAATGGACAGACCCTAGCGTGCAAGTGTGAGCTCCTTGTATCTCTTCAGGATGTTTTTTAATGCTCAGTATTGTAATTCTGTATCATACTCTCCAGTTAGAGTGTGCTGTCATGTGGTGTAGATGAGAGGTGATCCTTAAAAAGTTAATTGATTCCTGAAGAGTTTATTCAAGTGGAAGAAAGCAAATTATCATGCTTTAGTGCCCCGTTATCAAAGGTTGTGAGAAATACTCAGTGGGTTAAAATTAGGCACAAGAAATTCTTAACACCCCGAAGACATTCCCTCTGCTTCCCTGGAGGACAATACAGCCTTTGAAAGCAGCAGTGGAAGGGGCAGAGCATCCGCTGGAGCAGAGTGGCTGGCTGGAGACAGAGGTAATCTCAGCCATCCCTGGTTACACACCCTGCATCAATCAGTCCTCAGGCTGCATCCATGCCAGGGGCAGTATCCATGGGGAACCGGAGCAGACCCTGGGAGCAGTGACTCCATAGCAGCCTGTGCTGTGTTATGCATCCTCACAAACCTGAATACCGGAGAGTGAAGTGAAAGCTGAGACCTTCATGCCTGTTCCTACTCTTTAGGCTTTCCACGCCACTGAAATTCTCCTTTAATCACCGATTGTGGCTTTTTTTTTCCCTGGCACAGCTCTACTGTACAAATAATTTATCCCCAGCATTGCTTAATACAGGTTTCCTTAATGCCAAGTTTTGCTGACCTCTGTCAGTTTCTGTGACCGTAGTTTTAGTTGAACAAGCACAGAACTTAAACTTTTGCTTTCATCTCCTACTTGAAATATCCCAACCATGCCAGGTCAGATGGGGCTTTGAGCTACTTGGTCTAGTGGAAGATGTCCCTGCCCATGGCAGGGGGTTGGAACTGGAAGAGCTTTAAGGTCCCTTCCAACCCAAACCATTCTATGATTCTATATCATGTCTTTTTCATTAGGATGTAATTGGATAGTGGCCTTAAATCATACGGATTTCTGTGGTCCACCAATCTTAAGTAGGGAGCCCTGAATGGGAAATGAGCTGAAATATGCTTGTTTATTGAAATCCTTTGCTGTGGTGAGGAAGGTTTTTACTTTGAGTCTTTATTTTCATTGTAAAAGGTACATTTTAGCCATGAATCAGTTGCATGCAGTGTTTGTCCCACTAGTGGAAATTGGTCAGTGTAAATTTCATGATCAGGCAATCGAGTGCTAGCAGACTGTAAGGGCAGGAGGTGAGGTGCTGATCTTATTTGTCTGGTAGGTGGGAGCTCCAGACAAAACCCAGACTTCAGTGGGATGTTGGAGTAGATTAGCTTGGTTATGTTGCTACTAAGGAAAATAATCTTTTCTCCAGGTAGAAAAACTTATCCTCAGAATGATCCTTTTAGATCTCTTTCTGTAATATTTGGATCCTGTGCATTTTCTTAGCCTTTGAAGGTTGTAAATGGAGGATGTGGACCATGAGGCCAGTGGTAGTAGAACCTCTAAATAAGCTGTGTTTGACACAATTTGGAGGCAGATTACCCTGAAGCTTCCTTTTTTGGGGGAATTGAAAACCCTCTTTATTCAGCTGTGTTTAAATAAATGCTTGAAGGCAGTAAAATGATTTGAGACATATGCTTATGTAAGAACAACGTTTCTCCATACTCACACTATGCCTGAATCTCTTTTCTCTGATATTTTGACACAGTTTCAAATACTTGTCTAACACCATCTCAATTTCTGAATTTTAAGAATGGATTGCTGAATTAAGTTTTATGCCCACCCTTTCCTGTTTTCAGTTGGTGCCATATACTAAGGTATTATTCTTCTCCTTGAGCAGAGAAGCAACAAGTATAAGGCTCCAATACATACAGAAAGAACTGAACTTTTATGTGAGTATGTTTTATGGGCGCTTCTAAATATGGAGCATCCATGAAATGTGAAAGCTTTTCCAGTATTTTGACTTAAATTAGTAAAGCATTACCCTTAATTTACATTTGATTTCCAGTAATTTCATGGGTTATTAGAAAAATAAAGTATGTGTATGTGATCAAAATACCTGACATGCATGCCTAACTGACTGTGCTTTTCCTTTGCAGGATGTTGTCTGGGGGTTAAACTCGTTATTTACTGTAAGTAAATGACTATTTTTTCATATCCACTTTCCTTTTCCCTGTCTGGTTTGGTTTCAGCATCACCCAATATGAACCCTGTCTGTTCCTTCTGAAACTGAAGGTCGTTATTTCCTTTGGCTTCAGTGGGTGTTGTGCAAGTATGAAATCAGTTTGTGCTTTTGTTTGTGTAACTGCAGGACTCCTACAGATCAGCTGAAATGCTAGGTTTTTTGGTACATCATTTTTACTTGTGGTTACAAATCTATTATGGGATATTTTGGTATCATGGGATCATCCATGGTTTGAAATTCCTCCACTGCTTTTCAGGAAATAGAAAATCATATTGCTCTGAGAAGGAACTGTGTTGGTGTTATGGGTGTTTTTTTTTAATTATATTTAGGAATTAATGACTGCCCTGCAGTCTCATTCCTATTCTGAACACTTATATTCTTTGTTAAAGGCCTCAGGACCCACTTGCAGAATTTGCTAAGTCTTTACTGTACAGAAGCTGCATTTAAGGGAGTTCAGGATTACGGTCACCTTCCACAGCCATTGCAGTTGGGTAGGAAGGTCAGGAAGAAGCAAAGAAGAGCACTAACTTGGTTGCTGCTCCACGCCATACAGAGGAAGCTGTGAAAAACTTTGGATGAGGAGCATCACTGCGGGCTTCACTAACCACAGCCTGGTTTCAGAGAAGGGAATTCCTTCCACTACTCCCTGCAGGAGGAGGGGTGCAGAGCAGTGGCTGTGCTTCCAGCATGCTCTCAGGATCATGATGCGTTTCTAAGGCCTCTAGCACAGCCCAAGCCAGTGGCTGGCTACAGTCTGCTCAGCTTTCTTGGAATCCAAAGGCTTGATTTGTTTCAGCAACTTCTTTAGGAAATTGATTAGAGGTTTGGAGAGCTTTTGCGTTTTCAACAAAGAGTAATTGCATTTCACAGTTAGTCTCTCACTGCATGCTGATTAGCTGGAAGAAAGCAAAATTCACTGGAGGTACAGTGATATGTCTGCGGAGGCAAAACTGCATGTAAGAATAATCCATTGGGCAAACAGTTACAGGGTTTGATAGTCACGCATCCCAGGCCATGGGGATTTTTCATGACAGGTGAGAGCTGTGCTACCGAGCTTGCCTCTTGGATTTCCTTCACACCCAGCTTCTGCTAAAATAGTAGGCTTTGAAAAGCTGGCACTGGATCGTACTGGCCTTGCAGATTCTTTTGGGTTTTTCCTGAAGAAAGCCAGTGAAAATGAAGTGGATTGGTGTCCAGCTTTGAGTGAAATGGGAAATTGGCTACTTGAAAATAAGTCAGAGAGTGGCATGCGCTTTTCACATGTGTGAAACAACGGCATTTCACTGTTGTCACTAACCTTCAACTGGGGAAAATTATCTGGCTGCAGGCAGAATAGAGGGTTGTGATTCGGTGTTATTTGTAACATACTAGATGATCTTTAAGGTCCCTTCCAACCCAAGCCATTCTATGATTGCCATCAGCATCTTGGTCTCCACTGTTATTAACCCTATACTCATTCCAAAAATACAGAGATTAAACGGGTAGACCTGAGATTTATCTTGACTGTTTCTGCTCCCTGCCCCGGCATGTCCTTAGCTCTTTGGCTGTTTGCAGTCCATTTCCCCTGGGCCCTGTTTTTCCCATGGCGTAAAATCTTTCCTGTTGGTCAGACTCCAGGTTATGTAGCTTCTTCTCAGTGTGGATGAAATTGCTTTGCTATGCAAATGGCATTAAGAAAAAAGGTGTTCACTTATGAGGGTGATGAGACACTGGCACAGGTTGTGTTCAAGGCCAGGTTGGACGGGGCTTGGAGCACCCTGCTCTAGTGGAAGATGTCCCTGACTTTGGCAGGGGGTTGGAACTGGGTGAGCTTTAAGGTGCCTTCGAACTCAAAGTGTTCCATGATTCTATGAAACTCTTCCTGCTTTATCACCACGCTGTTTGCAGGGATTTTTTTAATGGTTTACTTTACCTTGAGGTAAAGTCAACAGGAATTCTGCCTCCTGAAACTTTGAATGTTCCTTCAAAATTCAGTTTAAAACTGTCTCAGTTTTCAAGCAGAAGTGCATCACTGCCAGAGAAGTGTCACAGGACTGTGTGCCACCAGATGGGGTCAAATGCCTTGCTACTGTTGTCCTTTCATTAACTTGTAATTCGGTTTGCAATCATCACTTATTTGCATTTACCTTTAATAGCGCTACCAATCAAGGTAGTGAGAAAATATGGTGCTCTACTCACTGGTCTTACTTTCATTCATTATCTTGTTCATTAGGGCTTTGGATTCCTTGTATGATGCAACGAGTGGGAACCCTATAATGTTCTCTGTTCCTTTGCCAGGATCTTCTGAATTTTGACGATCCTTTGAATATTGAGGCTGCAGAGCATCACTTGCGTGACAAGGTGAGTCAGTGGCTTATTTAAAGCATGTTGTTCCTAATCCAATACACATACATGGTTCCCAGTCAGTCCTTTTAAAGTATAGGAGCTGGTACTTCAGTCGAGTGACTCACTGTATCAGCCACCAGTTAGTCAAACAAAATGTGCTTTCTCTGGGAAAGTAAATTCAATGCAGCAGTGTTAGTCACCATATGCTGGACTAGTTGACCATAATGTAGTCATATCCCCAAAACATGATCTTTTCCACCTTGTTTCTGAGATTTTCCTCAAAGTTGTACGTGTTCTGTACAGCAAATGATAGTGAATTGGTTTGGTGCAGTTAGTGAGTAGCCTTTACCTTTTAAGGTCTGTAAAAGGATCTCATCCTTCTCTGTCTCTTTCAAATATATTTTTTTTTCTTCACAGCTTTTGCATGTTTTTATTAACCTAGGAGAAGTCTGGGCTCTTTCAACAGATGAGAACTTTATTTTCTTTTCACTGATCTTCTTTGTTCTGTGTGTGTTATAGAAAAACAAAACATGGTTAGTGGTCTGATAAACATCTGTGAGATGTACTGACATCTCCCCTCTATGGATCTCTGAAGCTATGTCATGTCATGTTATATACATACATACCCCAAGCACATAAAAATTACACTTGGTATATTCAAGATGTTTTGTTTAATTAAACCCTTTTGATACATTTGTTGAAGTTAGCCTTAAAGATTGAAGAAAGCTTTCAGGTAACTGTTGATTTGAAGAGTTCATTGTGAGTCAGGCAGTGCACCTAATTTGTCTCATTTTTTTCAAGAGGAATTATTGGGATTGAAAGTTCATCTTTTCAACTGTGCTTTGTTTAATGAGTTCTTGTAGCTGTTCTGGTATTTATCTGTGTTTTGCAGAGCTGGGATGAGACCATAGGCCCAAGTGGGGAAAACTCTTCCTCTGGAAGAGGAGGGGTTTTATGGTTTTATTACATCATTTTGGCAAAGAGTGTCAGGAGGCCTGACTAGGCATGAAACACTGAAAATAGTCACAAAGGGAATACAGCCCAAGAAATAAAACCAGCGTAGTGAAGGTATCAGGCTGAATAACTTTGTTGGCATTGTTAAACTGATTTATTCCCTAATACCCTGCCAGGGGAATTGGGGAGTGACACACCTACACCCCTATTGCTGAGTGTCAAATTTGGCACTTGATTTCTTCTAACTGCTGGAAGGAAAGCACTTTGTCTAGTGTCTGGGGAAGATTTTGGTAAGGAGAGATGCTCCCATGTACTAGTACAGTTCTGTGTCAAATGTGTTGATGTGACAGACAAGCCTTACCAATGCATTGAGGAAATCGATAGACCTCAGAGCAGCCTGTTCTCTTCTCAGGGAGTGATGAAATGCTGAGAACTCGCTATCTGGCATGTGTCAGCCTCATTCAGAAATGGGAAGTCATGGAAATCTGCTGGAAGGATGTTACCTGCTTTTTATAAACACACCTCTCTCAAAAATGGAGAAGTGAGCACTCAAAATACCTACTGCTATACTAATAGCATGGGACTTTGGGATTGGTGAAGAAGTGAAAGGGAAATTGAGTAGGTTTTTTGACAGTCTTCTAGATTAAAAATAGCTTTGGAACATACATTTTTTATTTAGTAAACTCTTGAGTAATCTCACAGGCACCTGTAAAATTCATATTCAGCTGTGTTATCTGTTTTTAGACTGTATCTGAATTTAGGTATTCAGTGGATAGTGACAGACCAGGTAGTGCTGGATTTCCATAGTCTATCTTACAGCGACATCAAGACAAAACTAATGATGTCTGTCTGGAGAGAATAAATGATGCAAGGGAGAGAACTGGCTGCTTTTACAGTTGCCTTCAAAGGGCACAGTTGCAGTTTGTTTTTGTCTCTCTCGGGCATAGATATCCTGTAGTGTATAGGCATATTGTCGTGAAGCCAAACTGCTTTGGTCCTGCCTTAGGAAAATACTTGAAATACAGTGAATATGGGAATGCTGATTTTTCCCTGAGACATTTTTACATGCATAATACAAATAGTGTATATGTAATATATATGCCTGTATGCACAACCTTTATACAAACAGATGTGTAAATGTGTCTATATATAGATAGTTTTGTACACAAACTGACGGATACTGTAAGAGAACGCCTTTGGTCATTTGACAGCATGGGAGTATATGGCTTGTAACAGCTGAAACAGATGTACCTTGAGCTGTCTTCTATGGGTCTGGAGGAGATGACTCAGGATTTCACTGATGTTAGTTCAGATTTGAAATCCTGGGATCCCTTTGCTGACATTCCAGGCTTAAGTGTGGCAGCCCGAGAGGTTAAACAGCTCATCTGAAGTCTGCCTCTGATTATTGAAAATGCAAAGCAGGAGTTTGTGCAGTCCCACAGGCTGGTGTTAAGTCATCAGAAATGACTGCTGCCTTGCACATGCTGGGAGAAGTCACACAGGTATCAAATCCCCCTCACTGGCTCTTGAAAAACGTATGTGCTATGAATGTGTTATGGATCAGGCTAGAAGGGACATTTATGATCTTTTCCTGCATAACGCACTTCTTCGTTTTTGCATTAAATCTATGGTTTATCCCTGAGCACATAGTTGTAGCTTTTGGGAAAGCAGCCCTGTTCTAAGATGTTAAAGTAAGACACAATTAAGAGCTCAAGTTGTTCAGTTAATTGCTTTAAAAAAACTGTTTCTCGTTTCTTATCTGAGATCTAAGTTAGTGCAGCTTCAGCTTCCAACCCTTGGGGCCTGCTTCTGTCAGTTACTGAACTTCTTCCCTTTCAGCTTCCTTCAGCCAGTGACAATCAACTCCCTTCTACATGAATTATTTTTTAATACATATGTTAAGGCAGCTTTAAAATACATGTTGTTAAGGCAGCGTTTGTAGCTATACAGCTCTTTCACGTTGCAAGGTGTCAGTATCTTTTTGTTGCTGACCATTTGTACAACAGATTTGGGCAGAGTCATCGACATCCATTTTCACAAGTACTAGGCAAAGAGACTACCTCAGTATTCACCTGGTGTGTATTCTCTTGCACAGTCTTTTCATCTTCTCAGGGAAACTTGTCTGTCAGTATTCAGTGCATGGAAACACTTCCTCTGTGTCACTGTAAAAGAGGAGGATTGATGGCATGCTGAGAGGAATGTTTTTCCCCTTGTGAAAATATAGCATGTCTTCTTTCGTGGCTCTGAAGTGCCAAAACTGAGAAATCTCATCGGAATAACTGTGTGTTTACCAAGGATCCAGCATGTTGCTTCCAACAGGCACTCCAGGTGCCGATACTCCTGATTTATACCTGCATTGTTATATTTCCCAATTGTCTGTTTGGTTTTAAAGAACATGCAGCATCACAGCCCTGTGTAAAACGGAGTCTTGGTTTTGCCTTTTGTCCCCTAGCTATTGTCTGCTGCCATCAGCGAAGGGACTTATAATTGTTTCCCTAGCTTTTCCATGGCTAGATCAGTAGTAAAGCTTGTAGCTGTTATTTTGATACCTTAATGATGAATTATTTTCCATAGGTTTGTGTATCAGTTTGGTTCTGGTCCAGGTTTTAGGAAGCAGCATGGGTTTTAACTCTAGCTGAATTTTAGCATCTCTGGTTGTCACTGATGATATTTCTAGTCCATTGACTTCATGTAGCTTTATACACTGTTATGATGTTTGTAGACATTGTGGTTTTATTCTGAGGAAGGGGGGATCATACATTTGTAAGAATTTTAAGGGGAAAATTCAGGAGAGTTGGAATTTATATATGACATACTGCAGTTAAACATTATTCTAGACAATTCATTATGTGCTTATGGCTGTCATTTTTATGGTCTCTAGTTTTTAATAGATCATCCTTATAGTTGTGGTTTCTAGTCCTGCTCAAATCATGTCATTCTGATTCCTTACCAGAGTAATGCTAGCACATGAGCAAAATTCCCCCAAAAGACACTGAGAACAGTATTGCCAGCCTCATTTCACCTGGGATAATGCTATATTTTCATGAACTGCAACCTCAGATAAATCACACAGTGCCAACACCGGCAATACACAAAGCCAGAAGCTGTTGGGAAAGAGAGGTTGTTTGGACAAACTTCTGCTTGTGTCACTTCCATGCTGTTGTGACAGCTGATGAATCTCTTTTCCTTTTTTGCCCTTTTTTTACTTGAGAAAATACATCATTGGTTGGCTTTTGCTATTTTAATTTATTAAAGGCTTCTCTTGGTGATAAAATTTTTAATTCAGGTTTGTTTCTGTGGAGGTGGATTTATAATGTTCATGGTGTTATGGAGTCTGAAGCCGCATCTTCCCCTTGGGATTTTAAGTGCGCTATATAGCCTTAGTTCCTTAGGAAACTAAGCTTAAAGAAAAGTCTCTCTTCTCAATTGCTTGCAGTCTTTGGAGGTTGTTCTAATGAGTCTTCTAGGATGAACATTTTCCTTGAATTACTTTAGGACTGTTGCCTTTACAAGTGAAAGCACTAATTTAATTCCTTTAGAAATCCATTGATAATTGAGAACAGTTGCTGACTACGTATTTCACAGAAGAGCTTTTATAACCTTTCATAACTGTATGTAGGTTTTTTCAATCCTGAAATAACAAACTATTCAGAATTTTTATAGAATAATCTTAATTTCTCAAACCCTTTCTTGGGCAACTGGTCAAGCCAGCAGCAACTGATAAAATGCCAGTGCGTGGGCCAGATTCTGAAGGGGACATTAAGGTATCTTCTGAAAACAGGTAAATCATTGGAGGAAAGTTGTCAGTAATAGCCTGTAAGTAACCATCATAAGTAAGAAACAAATACAGGCATGTCTATAGAAGATCTTTAGACATCTGTATGGAAATACAGAAAGTTGAATTCTCCCCCCATGAGATTGTCTCTCTGCATCAACAGCTGTCCTTGCCCAGTATAGCTTCCTTAGTTCTGGAGCCACCAAGAATCACCAAAAACTTGGAAGTGTAAAACTTCTTTTTCACCAAGAGTGATTTCATCCTCACTGGGGTTTTCGCTTCTGATTGTTTGGGTTTTTTAAGAAACAGGAACTACAAAGTCTGACTTCCGAAGCACATTCTCAAAGTGGAAAGGGGTTACTGTTCTTGTGTCTCACCTCAGGTTTTATCAGGTGCTTTAAATCAATCTGCCACACAGACTGGGAATGTGTGCTTTCTTTCCAGGCTACCCTGTGGGGTGCTAAATTCAGAAGCTTGCAGATTTGGGACCTTTCATCTCTGCTGAAGTTTAGAGTCTAACTGATAATGCCTTCAGAGAGTTACAAAGTCCCAGAGCTCACTGCCTGTGTATCATTTCAAATTCAATCCTTCTAAAAGACTGTTCCAAAATAATGTCATGGCCAGCTGTACTTTTATCCTCCTGGGTTTTTACTTCTGTGCTCATACGTAGTAAGGGCGTAATCACATTAAGATTTAAGTGCCTTGAAAATCCATTTTTCTGTGTAGCTGAAGAAATGCATTTGAAACTAAATAGTGTGTTCAGATTTGGGTTCTTCTTGGTCTATTGTCAGTGATCCCTTTGAAGCTAGTTTTCTTCTATTAATGTAATTCCATATATCAGAAGACTAGTCTCAATTGTTATTTGAGGCATCTGAATAAAAAGCATGATACCAATGCTAGCATGTTACAGGTAAGCAGTAACACAAAATGAAATTAAAATTCAAAAGTTTTGGAAAAAGTATTCATTATCTGTATTTCTTCCTCAGCTCTTCTGGTTTAAAGTAATTTGTTTAACTGATCTTACAGTAACTTCTTTGTTCCTCTGTCATACCTGCTCTTTTTTTTTGGTTGCCATTTTTATATCAAAGGCATTTGATTATACATTTGAGGACTTAGGTTCTGCAGTGATTCTTCCTGCTCAGAAGAGATCAGGTCTTTCACCTTGCCATTTCTCCAGAACCATCCCAAATTTCACAGAAACAGAAGGAGCAGCTGGCAGTGGCATCTTCAATGCAGATCAACACCTTTGCTTATTGAACCAACTGAGTAATATGAACTACTGGCCTTCACATAAGACACCAGCCAACATCTGTGCTGGAAAGGAATGAAGCATCTTTTTCTTCACCTCCAAACTGCTTAGACTCTTTTTTTTTTTTTTTAAATCTTTGGCTTTATGTAAAACTCAAGGGCAGAGTGGCTTAATCCTTTGAGATTTAGGCTGCGGAGCCCAAGAGCAGAGGTATCATGACTGTTGTGGGGAGTACATCGTTTATTGCATTAACTTGTCTTGATCAAAGCATTTGGGTTGGTTCACCTCTTCATAAATGGAGAATGAATAACCTGCAAGAACATTTCTTCCAGCTTTGAATTAATTGGGTTTGTGTAGCTGGAAGCAAAAGCTTTCCTGTGGATGTTCTTCACTGGGTTTTCTTCTTGTTAGATTTAATTGTTAGCAGTTAAATATCTTGAAGTAAGTTTGTTTGAGAATTACAAAGATTATCCACTGGTCTATAGTGACTGTTGATGAATTTGGGTACAAAACAGTTTGTTTGCGTAGTACATTTTAGTATAAAACATTTATAGTATATAAAATATAAGAAATTAAATTTCATGGTTCACATGCATCTTCTCGCTCTGCATTTCAGAGGAAATATTATTTGTGATAAAAAGGACTAGAAATAGCTCTAAAGAAGCATTTTATTTTCAGATAATTTTGAATTATGTTAAATAACTGTATTCCTTTGATGGGTAGTGTTCCTTGAAGAAACTGAAAACAGCTGAAATGGCTTGATTTTGCAAAATAATCAAAAGCATACTGGTAGATCAAAACTCAGATACCAGCACTGTATTACCCAAGTTTATATGGGTATATAAAATTCTATCCAAATGCTTGTTTCTTTATTGGATTGGATCTGGACAAGTGCATTTGCAAAATGACAGAATGTTTTTTCTAATGCCTTCCTCAAGGAATTTTTTAATTAAAATAATGCTCATTTAGTTCATTAATGCATTATGTTTAGCCCAGTTCTCTTTGTCAGACTTTCTACCCTTGCCAGCAGTTCCCCATTAGAGCCATAAACTTTGTTAGACTTTTCCGGCTTCCCAAATGTATCCCTGTGAAATTTCGTGTGTCAACAGTGCTAATGATATTTGAAGAATTCTGATCATCGCTGTTTTCATTTTTTACACTCAGATTCCTAAAGTTGAGTGATAGCTCAAAGCAGCTGGAAAAGTTACCTTAGAACAGAAATATGAAGACGTTTACTTGAAGCTCATTTCAGGTGGTGTTTAAAAAATATTAATGTTAAGGTGTTTAAGCTGGTGCTAGAGGAGCAACCATGCAGGGATCACTTGTGCTAGATGCTCCTAAGTGTTTAGGATCAGTTTCTCAGCTGCACCGTGCCTGTTTAACTTCAGGGCACATGGTGGAGAGAAGTGAGGAGCACCTAAAAGTGCCTTTCGTTGTCACATTGCACAGTACAGGGGGAGAACCTTTGCTTTGCCAGTTTTGGAAGGTGGCCCTGAGGCTTCATGTCTGAGGGAGGAGAAGAGATGCTCCTTTGAGTCAGCTTCCCCAGAGCTGGCAGTACTCTTCCCCTACCACAGCAACAGGGAGAGTTGTCATGGGGAAGCAGTAGATGTAGCTAGACATCACGGCTCTCCTTTCTGTTTGGCGTGGGTGGCTCTTCAGTTCCTTTCACCAGATTTTACTGAAGAGCCTTCTGACTAAATTGTCTCTTATACATTGTTGTGATAACCTTGTCAGTTCTGTTCATAGAAATGCTTTTGATGGTGGAAATTTTTGAGTTTGCAGCTTGGCTAAAGAGGTGGTTGTGTTTCTCAGCTCTTCTGTTCTGTGTTGCAGTCACTGCTTTTTCACTAAGTGTTTCATGCACACATGGTCCAGATGAAGCCAACTAGGTGTTGTGAAAACATCTGGCTGGATGTTTAGAGGAAAGCATTTGCCATGACCCTGTGTCCAACCTGGAAATAATCACTACAGCATGCATGTGTGCAAGAGGAGGGCTCTGTGAGTTCAGAGTCCACAACTATTGCCTCTTTTAGTGCTGCACAGGCTTTTCCCTACTTGTGGGGTATTTAAAAGGTCATTGTGGTTTTGTGATCCTTCCCTCCTCCTAGCTTTACAAACTTACCTAATGCAGGTCAGAATACATTAGAGTCCATCTTTGAAGATGTGACTGTCTTGTCTTTCACTTAGTTGGATGCCAGCCTCTGTCCTGTACTCCCACGCTGAAAACATTCAACTGTTAGGTGCTTTGAAGTTTTACTAAATTATTATCAAGGGTTTAAAAAATGGGCACATTGTATCATTTTCAGAGTTTGTTCCCTAAGTCCTGGCCAATAACATAATGGCATAACAAACTGAAAGCTGAAAATGTTTTAATAATAAGCCCCTGCTTTCATCTGTCAAGCCAACCAAGTGGAGAATGTAGATGATCGTAGGATTATTTGACAGCTATTGGGGAAGCATCTTTATCAATTATTGGCAGAGCAGAAGGCTCAAATTGGCATTTAACACTTCATGGTAGCTTGGAAAACACAAGTAAGCCATACTGCGCATCTAAATGTGCAAGTTCTCCTTCAATGAAATAAGGATTGAGACCAAACAGTTTTTCGGGCTGTGTCTTTAGTTTTGCATAGCAGCTGTTCCACAAACCAGCATTAGCTAACTGTCCTTCCGTGTCAGCATGGGCCATGAAAATGTATTAACTACTCCTGCAAGACCCAGGGGCGTAATGAATACAGATTAGCTGCCATTCGTTCCTTTCTCCTGTACACAAGAACAAAGGCTGATCACAGTATGGAGAGGGATCGCAAGCTGTTGGGGACATGCTGGGTTAACATCCCCTAATACATTCTTGCATAAATGAATGGAGACAAAACCAAAGTGTAACTTTGCTGTTGGTGGAAGGATGTAATAGAATATCCAACTCTATTGTGATGGGGGTAGCCTGGTGTTTTGCTGATTGTGCAGAGAGTTAGGAGTTGCAGCATGTCACATTAGCAGCCTGTTTTCTGCTGCATTCTTGTCAATACCATCAAATTCATGACTGACAGCTCTGCTGCTTGCTTGAAGTTCTGCCTTCATCCCTTTTGCTTTTTAATTTATCGTGACAGAGTAGTTTTCTACTCTAATTTTGTGCTTACAGATACTTAAACCCAATAGATTGGGCAATTGCAACAACAGAAGCAACTTGTGATGGTGCTGCTGGTCAAAAGGACCTGATGGGGTGCAGTGAAATCTGTAAGGACAAGATACCTCATAGTTGCTGCCACTGTGGGTAGCTGGGTTCCTTGCATTACTGCAGTCTGACACTGCTGGGGTATTAGCATATCACTCATCTAAAAATAAGTCCTTTATAGTTTCCAAAGTACTTACAGTGCTTGTTGTAGAAAACAACAGCTGCTTTTGATTCTTTAGTAGCATTGAACACATGAACCCATGAGCTGGAATCCCTCTTGAAAAGTAAATAGGAATTATATTTAATAGGAGGAAGAAGCAGTAAACCAGGTTTGGGCATCTTTTAAATATTCAGTTTATTTCGTATCATCTGAAAATCCACAGATGTCTGTCTGCAAAGCTTAAGTAGGTAGATAACCCTGAAAGAGTAACAGACAAATATGATCCTCTGGCTTAAGACTCTTATTTGCTTCATCAGGAATGAAAATTAATGTTTCAACACTACCAGTCTGTTTTTTTCTCCATTGGCTACATTCAAGCCAAGCTTTTGACCTTGTCTTGATTTACCTCATAATAATTAGTAATAATTGTAAG